AAAAAAGTCTGCCCTGGAGCCTGGACCTGTCTTCTTTCCGTGATGCTGTCGCACCGGATTGCGCAGCGCCCGGGCTGGCTCGGGCTCCGGGGTCCCCGGTCTCCGCATCCCGCGCTCCTCCGTCCCGGTGCCCGGGGCGCGCAGGCGGCAGCCGGGCAGCGAGCGCAGCCCGCGCGGGGCTCGGCGCTTCCCGACGGCTCCCCGAGGAGCCGCTGCCGCCTCTGCCCCTTCCCGGGAGCCGCTGCGGGGACGCAGGTGCCTGACCGCGGGGCCCGGCACGGGCAGCCGGTGCGACCGCGTGGCGGAGAGCCCCGCACGGAGCCGCGTGAGGAGGCGCACGAGGCTGCGGGGCGCGGCGGRGCCCTTACCTGCGAGCAGCAGGGCGGCTCCGAGCAGCACGGTCCCCGGCAGCAGCTGGCGGGGCATGGTCCTGCCCGCGGGCAGCGCAGGGCTCTTCCCCTGCCCACGGCGGCGAGGCGGCGGCGGCTGCGCTCCCACGGGCTCCGCTGCGCGCCGGCCTCCTCCTCCTCCTCCTCCTCCTGCGGCCGAGATAACGGGGCGGCGCGGCGCGGCTCCCGCATCCAGCGGCCGCCCGGCCCTCCCCGCCCGCGCCCGCGCCTGCCCGCGGAAAAGGGAGTGTCGGCGCCCGGCGGCCCTGCCCGCTGCACCTCCCGCCGGCATCGAGGAGCAGCCGCCGGCCGCCCCGCTCGCTTTAAACTCCTCCACCCCGCCAGCCCGCACCCCGGCCCACATCCTCCGCCCTCCCCGCGCCGCGTCACAGGACCCCCCGCCCGCCCCACGCGGGCACGGGGCGCCCCCGCAGCCCCCGCGGCGCCTCCCACGCGTGGCCGGGGCGCGGCCCCGACGGGACTTCCCGGCTCTGCCCCGCGCCGGGGCCGGGCCGCCCATGGGCACCGCTGAAAAGGCCACGTCCACCCCGTCCAGCGGAGCCCGCGTCCTGCTTCACAGAGGGGTAGCGCTGCGGGGCGCAGTGGGGCTGCTGGAGCTTCTGCCTTTCCCCGTGCCCAGGACAGGGTGACTGGCAGCACCTCGGGKACCCATCCCCAGGGCTGGGGTGCCGTGAGGGCAGCCTCCAGCAGGCAGGGCAGTTAAAGGGCCTCAAGGTTGAGGTCATCCCAGGAGCACGGGGCTGTGGGTGGCCTTCACTGTCCTTCCAAGTGACTGCCAGGACCAAGCTGGAAACGCATTTCTCCTACCTGTACACTTACCTCGAGCTTTCCATGACTATTACATACTGGGAAAGGCCAGAGGGACCCCACGACAACTGAAGCAGTGTCTTGTGCTTCTACTTTCCCCCTGCAAGGCCAACGACGGGCTATTGGGTAAGGCAAGTCTTTAATCTGACCCAGTGTGGCCCTTCCTATGTTTTTATGTTAGGAAATAAATCTCAAGAGCCCCTGCATGGGGCAGGTAAGTGTGATCATCCTCACTTTACAAAGGAGGAAATAGAGGCACATAGAGAGGTTAGGCAGCCAGTCCAAGGTCATAGGAAGCTGGTGACAGGAGCCAGAAATAGAACTCAGATCTCCTGTGTCCCAGCAGATCATCCTGTGCAAGAAAAAGATGAGAAGTTGGTGTTGTTTTTGACTTGAAGACTGTTTAACTTTCAAGTTTAAAGTCRGTGAGAATATTTCCTGCAGTTTTGTCGGACTCCTATTCCTAAGTGACACCCTAAGCTAGGAATCCAAGCTTACATTTTCTAGTCTTCCTGCCCCCAACTGCGCGCTTGAAAATAAAATAATTATGGATACCTCCCCTGTCATCTGCTCACACCATGTGGGGAAGAACCCAAAAATTTCTTTCCTGAAGAGATGACTCATAAGAAATAATCTCCTCCAGTGCAGAGGACAGCAGCTGGGAAAACAGCAAGTGAGGATGGATCAACGAGAACATGGACCGTGGGCATCCTGACAGCTCRGACCCCCGAGGAGCAAGGGCTCCCTGTGGAAGGAGCGAAGGGAATCACACACTCTGCTTTCAACCTGCCCGGTGCTGAGGACACGCTGAGTCTGCAATGAGGCCTGGGCCGGCACAAGATCTGCAGCAGAGCAGCACCAGATCCCACCCTCCTCACACCTCCTGCACTGCAGCTGCCCTTGGCCATGGCCCTTCAAAGACCACAGCTCTCTGGCAAGGCTCACCACCTTCCTTCTCGCATGGCTGGCATCAGCTCCTGCTCTACTGAGGCTCCTCCAAATAAATAGGCTGAAGCACGTGGACAGATGGACATTGTACGGGTGTAGGAGAAGGCAGCGTGGGACTTATTTGAAAGATCTTATTTGTATCTACTGTGACATAACTTGCTGCACGTGGTAGGAAGAAGAGTGGCTTCAGTGCTGTGCCCACCCAAATACCAGCAAGCCAACCATGGGCACATTGCAGCCAAATGGACATTTTGCAGGCATATGATCTCTCAGCATCAGAATCTTAGGCCCAGGTCTGGCACTAAGTAGTAGGTAGCATATGTGCAGATGTATTTTTATCCCTGGAAGCTCCAGAAGCTGTTGTTATGTTTCCTTTGGCTGTGAAATGTGGAGAATCTCTTAACATTTGTTAAAAAGTRATTAAAAATATTACCAAATGTTAGAAAAGAAAATATGCCAAATTTGACAGCTGATAGTGAGCCCTCCTTGAAAATTAACAAGTATTTCTCCCACGGATCTGTTTGGCTGCTCCATCTCCAGCACTGCAGAAGCAGCAGTTTCAAGTGTTCACTTGAAGCCCAGCAGTAATTCGCTTCCTTCTTGAATGTTACTTGGCTTTAGATCAAGATGGCTTTTGACAAGTGTCTTGGATGAACAACCCATGCATAGGGCCCTAGGTAAATAAGTTATCAGACAGCAAAAACGTCAGCTCTCTAGTACGCATCCTTTACCCCACCCTGGCCTGCAAGACTCATTGGAACAACATAGAAATTGAGCAATACGAAAAGGACTAAGAAGGCAAATACATAGGACATTCGTTTGGAGAGGRATCTAGACCATTTTCTGGGTCTATCTTGCGCAGTAGGCTAATATGCCATGAATAAACACAGACACTACTCTGAGGAGAAGATAGGACTTCTCCGAGCCGAGCATCTAACCAGAGCATTCCCTCTAGTCTGCTCTGCACCAGTTTTTATGACTCTTGCATGTCTAGTTTCAAGAGCGAGGTGGGGTGGAGGCACCTCTCAACCCGGATATGACTTAGTCAAGTCACTAGGACACATCCTGAGGTTGTGGATTCTACTTGCTGTTGGAAGCAAGACACTTGGCACATCCTGAGCTAAGGTTTTAGCCAAGTCTCCTGGGAGGAATAGCTTGGACAGTTCCCGTGGATGTGGCAAAAATAAAGAGCCTGGAAAATCCCACTCACACCCACAGCTGATACCCACCCAGCCTTGTCTGACTCTTCGCAGTCATGGGAGCAATTTGTTTATTTGTACTCGTCCTCAAAATAGCTCCTTGAGCCACTGGATCCAATGTTCAAGACACTACACAAAATGTTACCATCAGCACCTGCACCAGCAGGTGTCTGTCCTCAGAAGTAAAAGACTGAATAGGCYGGAGCAAAAGCCGATGGACCTAATTATTTCTGTGGATCCCCTGTGCTCAGAGTACAGAGGTTCTCACTCACACACAGGAGCAGGATGGATTGCCTCCTGGATCTTCCCAAGTTCCTGTTGTTACAAAAAGAGGGAAAGATATCGGAGGAAAGCAGATTGGATCTCCCTCTGCAGGTTTTCCGCAGAATCTGCATCTTCCAATTGATTTCTTTACGGGGCAGTGGGTGCTCCTAAGACTGAAAATTTAAGTAAAGGAGTTTCAGTTAATCATCAAAAAAAAAAAAAAAAAAAAAAAAAAAAGTACATATTTTAGTGGCAGAGCTGACAGGCAAGGATGCAGTGCTCCCTGTCCACCCTTTCTCCTCAGACTAAAGCACAACTGGTTCCAGGACTCAGTGTTAAACAGTTTGGTGAAATAATCCAGGATTTCACTTCTCTCATTTTTATGGAGGGCCATTTTAAGCTTGAGTCTTTTTATTAATGCAGTTTAAGCAGAACCATGTAGAAGGAGACACAGTGAACTGTGGTAGCTGGAAGAGTATTGGAACTATTTACATTTGTCTGGCTTCTGTGGAAGTTACAACTTGGAGCAACATCCTAGGTGAGGTGGTCTGGGTCTACCCAACGCCTTCCTGATCCTCTCTTCCTCCATCCGTTAAGTCATCATTATTTTAACTTCCTCTGGTTCCGTCTCCTCCAGGTCAGGACAGAGTTCAAGAAGCACATTATCAGGTCAATTTGATTTACCATCATCACTAAATTTAGGTGCTCTCCTTATTTAGATGAGCAAGAGRGGCATCCTACATTCAGTGCTGCCTTTAAACCAAGGCACAATTCCTCAGCTTTCCTCAGTGCTGTGAGACAAGAAAGCTGATGCATCTCTKCTCTACAGCATGTGGTGGGACAACTACTTGCACTTACTTACTAGGTACGTGCATAAATAAGTACAGACAAGGACATCAGCAATGGATGTTTTTGTGCTTCCCTTTAGCAAGGCGAAGCTTTGCCTCATACTATACAGCCTCTTTGCTCTTTGTCTGAGTAAGACCACCAAAATTTGGGACAAAGATTTAGTCCTTTTAGGCTAATCTCACAGTACTCCTGCCCATCATTCACAGGAGACCTTGGTGTAGGTGAAGCAGGCAGATGTCTAACCACAGCAAGAAGGTAGAGGCAATGGGAGCAGAGAATTTGCTCATTMTTTCTTATTGCAGTTAATCAACTGGCATGAACTGGCGTGAATCAGATACTCCTAGCTCATTGGCAAATGAGGAAGCCCATGAGTAAGAGTTCCAGAAACCCTCCTGCTGACCTTGGTGAAGGACCCAGGACCCCTTGGCAGGGCTTGGAGCCCACCCGCTTCCAGGAATTCTGCTGGCTGCGCTAAGAATTCAGCTGGCTTAGTCAGAGATCAGCTGCTCAGCTGCCACGAGCTGTTCTGAAGAAAGCTACAGGCAAAGTCCTGCTTCTTCTTTCCCTTGGGAGCCACTTTTAACTCGTGGAGCGGTTACATCCGCACCCAGGCTCCCGCCTTCRCACATCCAAGCCTGACCTGGGCTCCCTGTGTAGGCTTCCTTGGACTTGCCTCATCACCACGGACTAGCCGGGCAAGCAGTGAACTCACAGTCTCTGGAGTTGATCCCAGCCAAACTCGTACTGCACATCCCAGCTCCATGTCGTGTGGYGACTGGATCCCAGAGCTCCTGGGGAGCACCTGCCCCACAGTGCTCCCTGGCACATCCAGCTCCACTTTGGCTCTGCCCATTTATCCATCTACTCCCCTTCCTGTCAGGTCTATGAGGCAGAATGCCCACGATTTTGTCCTTGTTTAGTCCCTCTCCC